AAATACATGTATTATTCATGTTTGTAGTGTGACATCACAAATCAAAACTCAATCAATAATAAAATGTGGTATCTTGGATTATTCAGGGTCCGTGTACTTTTGCGTTCAATACATTTTATATTTTTGAAGGGAAATGGAAAATCGTAAAAAGGCTATTTTGTATTTTCAGGCACACAGCAGTATACAAAAATGACCATTTTGGTTTTTCTCATTGCTTATAAGACACATATATATATATATATATATATATATATATATATATATATATATATATATATATATATATATATTATGATAACCGGATTTGGGAACTAGAAAATGCAATAATTAACCTATTTTAATATGTATTGAATACATTTCGGCCTCCATCGATTACTTGGAAGTGAAACAAGTTTGTTTACTCGCACGAGATTAGAATCACCTCTGGACCCCTGATCATTTGTGATAATGGTGGAGGGCGTCTGAGATTTTGCAGTGCATTCACACGGGATAAGCAATATCTGTAAAATACTGTTTTCACTAACATCTCACATAACGGCCGCAAGTGCGCGGGTCTTCCGCTTCACCCAGTCCAGAGAGCCGCGTCTGACCCATAGACTGGACCACAGTATAACAGTCTATGGACCACAGCAGCCACAGAGACATGAGGACAAACATCTTACTGCTCTACAGTTCTCTGGCCCATACTGTCTGTAATGTTTAATAATAGTTTGTATAGACTACTCGTGAACCACATACTCTGCTACGATACGTGCCGAGAAATAGTAACGGCTGCATTAACCACAGACTGTATATATTCAACATGTCTGTCCTGCATCAACCACAGACTGTATATATTCAACACGTCTGTCCTGCATCAACCACAGACTGTATATATTCAACACGTCTGTCCTGCATCAACCACAGACTGTATATATTCAACACGTCTGTAGTGTATTAACCACAGACTGTATATATTCAACACGTCTGTAGTGTATGAGGACAGAGTGCAGAGTAAACTTACAAACACAACCCATCGGTCTGATCATTCAGTGTCAGTGACACATTACACTGTCCTCTTCTCCACAGACCTCAGACAGCAGCAGCCGCGACTCTGCAGCTGTGTACACAGCCGCGACTCTGCAGCTGTGTACACAGCCGCGACTCTGCAGCTGTGTACACAGCCGCGACTCTGCAGCTGTGTACACAGCCGCGACTCTGCAGCTGTGTACACAGCCGCGACTCTGCAGCTGTGTACACAGCCGCGACTCTGCAGCTGTGCACACAGCCGCGATCCCCAACTCCTCTGTTTATGGACAAAAACAACGCAGAAAGTAAAGAGAAAGGGACCATAGCGATCACAATCTCTGACATGCAGATTCACACAGGATCAGTATCACAGGACGTCTGTGTTTGGACAAATACAGGAGGTCATTTGCGTATTAAATTATAATAAATTAGAGCGAATAGGGCTGAAGTAAACAAACTTGTTTCACTTCCGGGTAATCAATTGAGGCCGAAATGTATTCAATACATATTAAAAAAGGTTAATTATTGCATTTTCTAGTTCCCAAATCCGGTTATCATAACATATATATGTCATATAAGCAATGAAAACAACCAAAATGGTCATTTTTGTATATTGCTGATTTTCGATTTTCCATTTCCTTCAAAAATAGAAAATGTATTGAACACAAAAGTACACGGACCATTCAGTCTCTTCTTCTTCGTCTGCTGTCGTTACTGTTGGGTTCACGTTCTTTCCACTGCATCTGTTCCTGATTTCATTTCCTCCTATTTTCATTTTTATTTTATTTTATTATGATCATTATTTTATGTTTTACCCCCTCCTCTCCTTGTTTTCATAAGACGCTCGTTTCGATCTAGTGGATGGATGGATGGATGGATAATAACAGTTGGGCACGTTCTAATCTGCTAACATCTGTTTTGGCAGTTTTTCCCCTGGACAGACCACAGTGCACCTCCGCAGAGCCACCAGCAGAGGGCGCCACTGTATAAGCCTCGCCCTGAGCCTTTCTCTCTCACATCCGTCTATTTTTGAAAAACTGGAATTCGTGACAAATGCGTGACACGTGTCTGGATGAAAAGGGGTAACTTCTGTACCTCAACATGACTGACCCCAGCTTTAGGAAGGAGAAAGAAGGATTTCAGATCAAAACTAATCAATTTAAAACAGGAAGTTGAAACGGTTTTAATCTCATGGTGCTGAATTAATAAACCTTTATGCAACTTACAGTACCGTACTTTAACTGTACTTTAACTGTCCTTTAACTGTCCTTTAACTGTCCTTTAACTGTACTTTAACTGTACTTTAACTGTGCAGTTAAAGCATGCAGTGTTTTCCATGACGTTGTAACACTGCATCTGTCGCCTATGATAAGATCAGAGAAGACCACCCCCTCTCAGCCAATCAGCTCTCAGTATGGAAAAGGTTACCTAATGAAACAAAGCATCCCTCCATCCATTTTCTACCCTTTAATCCATTTGTGGGTCAGGGGGGTGGGGAGGCCAGAGATGCACCCAAGTGACAGAGCACCAGCCCCTCACTGATCCCTGCAGGTGCTGAGTCCACAGGAGTGAGAAGGTCTTTTGATGTGTTCGAACCCCCAACCTCTAGGCTCAGAGCCCAATGCTCTACCCCCTGAGCCACTGTCGCTCCGAAATAAAGCCTTTGTTCACAAGGTGTCATTTAAACAAGACTTGATCTCATTGGGCACTCAAGCTTTAAGTTATCAAAGTTAAATCTGAGAAAGTGCCTGTGCCTTTAAGAGCTGAGGAGCACGTCCTGCTTCTGTGGCCGCAGCAGGAGAGGATCTTGGATATTCTTCCTGGGGAAAAAAGTGCTTTTTTGTTGCTATTTCACAGTTAGTTTAAAGCTGAGGTACTTTAGAACTACAACAGAGTTAACTGTGTGATAAAGTCCTTGTCACTGGCCTCTAAAACAGTTTTATCAGCAGTTTTCATGTGTTTGTCATGGGACACCCCCTGTGAGGTGAAGGTTGGGAGGGGGGGCGGCTGTTACAGACTCCTCCCTCTGCTCTGAGTCTGAGTCGGTGAAGATGGAGCAGAAAGCTGTGGATCTCGTCCTTCTGTGTCCGGTGTGTTCAGAGCCACTGAAGGATCCGCTCAGTCTTCCCTGTGGACATCACTCCTGCCTGAAGTGTGTCCAGATGCACCCAGAGGAGGAGCAGCGGCTCTGCCCCGAGTGTGGGGAGAGCTACAGCCTCAGGTCGATGGAGCAGCTCCCCATGTGCCACGAACACAACCAGGAGAAGACCATGTTCTGTCAGACGGACCTGCAGGTCCCACACCGGGGCCTCCAGACTGTGACCTCAGCCTCAGAGAGGGCCCTGAGTGAGGCCCAGCTGGGGGCCCTGAGTGAGCCCCAGCTAAACACTGAGGGGCCAGTCACAGTCAGGAGCCTCACAGAGGGGCCAGTCCCAGTCAGGGGCCTCACAGAGGGGCCAGTCCCAGTCGGGGACCTCACAGAGGAGCCAGTCCCAGTCGGGGACCTCACAGAGGAGCCAGTCCCAGTCAGGGACCTCACAGAGGGGCCAGTCCCAGTCAGGGGCCTCACAGAGGGGCCAGTCCCAGTCCACACAGGGACCAGGATCCCCTTTGAGAAGGTGAGCAGAGCTGTGTCTGAGCTCAGGGAGAGACTGCAGCTCACTGTGGAGGAGGCACGCACCAACATCTCTCTGGCTCTGAGTCCAGTCCAGGTTTTAGTCCCAGAACCAAAGACCAGAGAAGAGTTCTTACAGTATTCTACAGACTTCACTCTGGACATAAACACAGCGAACACTTGGCTGTCTCTGTCGGAGGGAGACAGAAGAGTGACAGTTATGGGTGAAAAGCAGAAGTACCCGGATCACCAGGACCGGTTCACGGACTGGTCCCAGGTCCTGAGCAGACAGAGTGTGACCGGCCGCTGTTACTGGGAGGTGGAGTGGAGCGGGGACTATGCAGAGATCGCAGTGTCGTACAGAGACATGCCGAGGCCCGGGGCCTTTGAGGAGTCTGCCTTCGGACTCAATGATAGATCCTGGTCCTTGGTCTGTAGACAAACTGAGAGTAGATTTTGGTTTAACTCGGTGGAGTCTGAGGACTTGGGGCCGGTCGGGTCCAGAGTGGGGGTTTTCCTGGACCACAGTGCTGGGGTCCTGTCCTTCTACAGTGTGTGTGAAAACCTGAGGCTGATCCACAGAGAACAGACCGTCTTCTCTCGTCCTGTTCACGCCGGACTCACGCTGGACAATGTTGGAGACACCGCACTTTTCCTTAAACTCAAATAGCCTCAGAGTTTAATGTCTGCAACTTCAATTCTATTTCATTTTGGAAAGAATAAATAACCATTTTCCATTCATTTTCTTCTGCTTTATCCGTTGCTGGGAATAAAAATTATAGACACACTTTAGTTTAGCACTTAATTAAAATCTAATAAAGTTCTTATTATTGTATAATTCCGGGTTAATTAGCTCTTGATTGGAATATATTATTAAGCAGTTTTTAATCTTTTATTTACATGGCCTTATTTAACATCTAATAACTACTGACACTTTGGGGTTAGTTTAAGGGTAAACTAATTAGGATTTCATTAGCTGTTAATTCGCAAGAGCTAATCCAGTGCAGGGGACTCCAACCTTTCTCAATCAGAGAGCTACTTTTATACAATGGCAGAGAGCTACTCCCTTTTGTAGTCGAAAATAAACTAATCTATATAATAACTACGACAAAACATGGAGAACACATATGTAAAATATATCGTACTGAATACTTGATATAAACATGTAAGGATTCAATATATACTAATCCAGCCTCATGTGTTTTAATTCACACACCCCTGACAACATCCACCACGGTAAGATTTTCTGAGGACCTTCACTTTAGGTCAGTCACTTTAGATCTATTAGTCAATATAACTAAAAACTAAAGTAGATTCCACTGATAAAACTTAAAACACATCAAAAATGCATCTCCCTCTTCTGCATGTCTGTCTAGTAATGATCCATTTCAGTCAAATAGGTTCCACATTTGTGTTGGGAAAAAAACTCGCTCACGTGACGTTTTTGCGTTTGAGACTCGCCTGGCAACTGTGCGAAGGGAAAATAATAGTCCGGACATCTGCGCACGCGTACACCTGTATTTTCTTTAAGGAAGAAGAAGGTCGAGAAAACAGAATAATTATCTACAAAGGTAATATTTGTTTAAATGTACAAGCTAATTAACAAATACAACGTCTTAGCTAACAGCCGTGAAGCTAGCGTTAGCATCCGAGCTAACATAGCAGCAGCACATAGCAAACAAAAGCCTTCACACTATTATTGCATACTTGTACACATTGGCCTGACTAGACTGGCATGGCACAGTCCGGGTTAGTTGCACGTAGTCATGTAATTTTACAGTTCCATAAACAGGATTAGACACAGATAGAGTTGTGTGGTTCAAAATGTGGTATTCTTTCCCCTGAATGAAGATATTTTACTGATATTGTCCGTGAGAGTCAAAGCTGAGGTGCAGATTGTGCAAACTTGTTGTTGTGGGGAATAGACAGAATGTTTTAGAGTCCGAGGTGCATGGATCCTTGCTCCTGTGAGAGACTTATGGCCCCAGTGCTTGTGTCTGAAACTCCAAATGCTAAATGGACTCAAACCGGAAGTAGTATTTTTCTCTATTTGAGAATAATGTCAAGCAGAATACTCCATGTTTTGTCGTAGTTATTATATAGACGTTTATTTTCGACTACAAAAGGGAGTAGCTCTCTGCCATTGTATAAAAGTAGCTCTCTGATTGAGAAAGGTTGGAGTCCCCTGCACTGGATTAGCTCTTGCGAATTAACAGCTAATGAAATCCTAATTAGTTTACCCTTAAACTAACCCCAAAGTGTCAGTAGTTATTAGATGTTCAATAAGATGCTTAATAATATATTCCAATTAAGGGCGGCACGGTGGCTGAGTGGATAGCACTCTCGCCTCTCAGCAAGAAGGTCCTGGGTTCAAATCCCGGTCGGACCAGGGCCTTTCTGAGTGGAGTTTGCATGTTCTTCCCGTGTCTGCGTAGGTTTCCTCCGGGTGCTCCGGTTTCCCCTACCACTAAAAATATGTACAATAGGTCTGGCATGTGCCTCCTGTACTGGCCCCGCTCCCAAAAATAACAATTGTAAACTGCTTTGAGACTCCGATGTGCAGTGAAAAGGCGGTATATAAATAAAGATTACTTACTACTTACTACTACTTTTGGATTGAGGACTGGCCTCCTGCAGGTTCTCAGAGTCAGGACTCAACACGGGAAGGCAGGATTTTAGATTTATGCAGCTAAAATCAGTAATAAATAGTTAACAAGTAATAAAGTCTTTCTGAAAATGTTCAAATCCAGATTAAAACAGTTTAGCTGAATACAACTGAAGGGTTTATCTTCACTCTTTATATTATTATGTGTTTGTTTATGATTCTAATTCCTTGTGTGATTTAGTTTTTTCCATCTTGTTTTGCCCTGTGACTTGTCTTGTGTATCAAATTCAATCAATCACATTTTATTTATAGAGCCCTTTACAACACACAAGGCGACCAAAGTGCTTTACAATAAAATCACATAAAATCTGTTAAAAACATTCACACAACCGAACAATAAAACAGTCAGATAAAACCATGAGAAACTGTATGAACTGCGCTATACAAATAAGCTTGATTGCGTTGGATACAAACAAATTCTACTGATGAGTGGATGGTGTTTGGTCGGAGGCTTTGATGGACCAGTGTGTTCAGGTCTCGCTTCATCACCGTGTGGAGAGAATGGAACAATATCTGACTCTGAACATTATAAGGTGCTTTGGGTGACCTTGGTCTGTGAAAATGCACTATATAAATACACATTACTTACTTAGTTACTTACCAACCCTCACTCAATCAGCTCCCAGTATCAAGAATAACATGTTTTATGATTTAATAAAGTGGGAATGTTTTTGTTGAGGCCTGTTTTGATGGAAAAAATTTTACTTGAGATTCTTTCTGTTGTGACAAACAAAATGTATTTATCAAAACGCAAAACAAAACGCAATGATCTTTGTCTAAACAACCAACTCTTCAGTCAGATTCTCTTGTAAACTGTGTGTCTTCGATCATAAGTGATTAGATAGCGATTTGGCCTACGTGCAGGACAAGCACAAGACTCTACAAGGACTCTGATGCATCCATGTTTTGAACATGGATAAACCTCCAGAGTTTGGCGCACCACGATCCGTCTCTGGTTCATTCCTGACAGATTTGGTGGAGGATGCGCGGCTCAGTGTGCGCCATTCTCTGGTTGTTTTGAGGACGTTTATTTTGGTTTCTCTTAAAGACCTTATGCCGGGGTTTTTTTTTTAAATTGTGGATATCAAAATTGCATGACAATGTCGATCTGAAATATATTCCGGCAAAAAAAATCCTATATTTTATAAAAAGAACGTGTTTTTCATGAATTTAAGTTGTCTATGCTCTAACCTGTGTGTGACGTCATAGCGGGTTACGCCCATGCATTGAAAACCATGGATCTATGCCACAGGACTGCCTTTTCTCTCTTCTCTCCACTGATGCCCAACACAATACTGCACTCTACAGGTGACAATTGCTCACTACACATAAATTGCCGTTTTGAGAGTGAAAAAGTGTCTGAGGTGGGATTTGAACCCCAGTGTCTGGATTGGCAGTGCATCGACACAACCACTGGACTATCTCAGAGCCGACGAAGCATCATAATCTAGTATCTATTTCAGACTCGCTGTACACGGCCTTGTCATCTTGAATATCCGCAAAAAAAGAACGAATACCAAATTGTAAACAACTTACAGCGTTGAAACGTACCCACTCTGACGTCACCAAGGGCTGTGAAGTTTTTTCGTTTCTAAGGGCGTTGCTATGGGGTTATTTCGATTTGGGGGGATCAGACAAAAAAAACAACAACTGATTTTGAAACCTTTAGTAGTTCTCTTCTAATATAAAATGGTATTAAAACTGTATTTCTAAATAAATCAAACCCGGCATAAGGTCTTTAAGTTCCAGTGGTTTCTGATGTTTCTTTCTCTCAGACAGAATAAAGGCAGTACACAGTTTATCGTATCAGTACAGAGTCTTGTGCTTGTCCTGCACGTTGGCCAAATCACTATCTAATCCTAACACAATAAAGCCAATATTTTGCAGATTCTTTTTAGGGATCAAAATGAACATAAATAATGCGTCATATTTGATCTGTAACACTGGACTATGTGACCTCTGCTTGTTGCTATGGGGCTGTTAGCGTTAACAAACCTCACTAAGGCTTTAAACTCACGCTGCACGATAATGGAAATTAGAGCGATATTGGATATGAGTGTTTAGTATTACGATAACAATATTATTGCAATATTTTTGTCTTTCACCTAAAATTGCATCAGCATTGAAACGACAAATAACAAAAATAAGCACAACATTAATGACCTTCAAATGCACATATTTATACACTTTTTTGTCTGTTTTGTTGTCTTTAATTAATATATATATTGATAATTATCGCACATCTTATCGATATGGATATTGCACGTACCAATAATCGCGATAACAATATTTTTTGATATATTGTTAATCTTGTACAACATGTGTTTACAGGAGTCCTGCACAAGCCTCTGATTTGTTTGGATCAACCTGCTTTTAATCTGAACCAGCGAACCACACAGAAAACCATGTGAGTGCAGAGCTTCAGGTTGAAACATCACACATTATTCATTTTAACTGGTTTAAGAAGATTTATGGATGTTTCACTCACACAACCTCTGTGTAACATTTCAAAGCTTAATGTTCAAAGTAAGAAAGGTATCCAGTGTTTTCTTTGTGAAATGGTTGTTTCATATTCCAATATATACTGTATAGTTATATATTTTTTTTACTTTATGGGTGTATTGGCAAACATCGAAATAGAGTTGGTAAGTCAAAAGAATTATAATTACAGGGATTTTTGTTGTCTGCTGTAGCTGCAATTTAGACGTCAATATGTTTTATCTCATTTTATAGCTCAGAATCTACAAATTAGTCATAGCTGGTGATAAATTAAGCATAATTTTGGCAACTTCAGCTCAATCAGGTCGATAAAAAGCCTCATTTCCACCAACCCTGCTTGGCTCTGCTCAGTTCAGGTCTACTCTACTCCAACTGGTAACGTTTCCACCTGTTTAACCAGTACCAGGTCCTGTTTTAGTTCCTGCTTGGCCCTGGTTCTATCCAAGCCGAGTTAAGTGCTCTAACAGACAATGGGCCTCATTCACAAATAACTTCGTAAGAAACTTCTCAAATTTCTTCTCAAGTTGTCCTTAAGTAGATTTCTAAGAAGTCCCTACGTGGGATTCATCAACGCACTCGTAAGCCGCTGAATTGTTCGCAGCTGTTCTCTCAGATTGATGAATCCCATTTCCTCGTAAGTAGAGCGCGCGTGCCAGGTGCTTCATTAGCATAGGTACTTAGCATAAGTAACCGCCCATTAATGCCCATAAAAGGGACTGCAGGGCCGTGTGCAGACGGCAGAGGAAACCGCAACAGGCCTACAGCAAAGAGTTACACGGAGCAAAAGAGTCACCCTTTTTTTTTCTTTTGCCAGACTGAGAATAAAATTATAAAATGTTGACTTAAAAGTCGAAATATTATGAGAATAAAGTCGAACTAGCAAAATTATGAGATTAATCTAAGAATATGATGAGATTAATCTCAAAATGTTATGAGCTTAATTAAAAAATATATTATGTATTATTTTAAAAATGAATCTCAAAATGTTTTGAGATTAATCTCAAAATATTTTGGACCCTGGGAGGAGATCCAGCGCGGACCAGCGCAGAGACCAATGCAGACCCGAGGAGAGACTGGAGTGACCAGCACACAGAAACCAGCGCGGACCGAGGAGAGACCGCATAGACTGAGAGACCTGACTGGAGAGACCGGTGCGCAGAGACCAGCGCGGACCGAAGAGAGACCGCATAGACCAGACTTGAGAGACCAGCGCGGACCCGTATGGATCCAGGAGCATGCAGCACGGACCCGTATGGAGAGACCAGTGCAGACCCGTATAGATCCATGGGAGAGACCAGTGCAGACCCGTGTAGATCCATGGGAGAGACCAGTGCAGACCCGTGTAGATCCATGGGAGAGACCAGTGCAGACCCGTATAGATCCATGGGAGAGACCAGTGCAGACCCGTATAGATCCATGGGAGAGACCAGTGCAGACCCGTATAGATCCTAGGAGAGACCAGCGCAGAGACTCAGCGCGGACCCAGTAACCTCCTGCAGCAGCAGTATATATGCCGTTGTTCTGTGGCCCGTGGATAAAGAAATGCCCCCTATAAATAGGAAGGGGTCACTAATACACGGCAAGATTTCCAATGTATTTGATAAAGCGTTGGCACATTTCATTTCAAAATGAATTAAAAAGTAGGCCAGATCTGCAGTGAAAAAGGCGGTATATAAATAAAGATTACTAATAAAGATTACTACAAATAAATAAATACATACATCGATATGACGGAAATATCACTGGAATGTTGTATTTTTATTCAACTTCACCAAAGAGGACAACCCCGGCGTGTGAACATGTCGGCACTGAATGCGTACGAGTGCTCCTGAGGACTCGTAGGATTTGTACTTGCCCAAGAGAAATTCTGGTTACGAGAAAAATTTGTGAATGCCACTTTCTTCGTAAAAACCTCGTAAGTAGGATTTACGTACAAATCTGTTCCTAAGAACCGTTCGTGAATGAGGCCCATTGATTGGCCAAAGTGCTACTGGAAGCCACGGTTACCATGTAATTTCCACAAATACTGGTTTGTTGTGGGAAGGTTTCTAATATACGGTTCCAGAGTGAGTAGGGTAGGGTAAGGTAGAGTAGGGTAGAGTAGGGTAGAGTAAGGTAGAGTAGGGTAGAGTAGGGTAGAGTAAGGTAGAGTAGGGTAGAGTAGGGTAGAGTAGGGTAGAGTAAGGTAGAGTAGGGTAGAGTAGGGTAGAGTAAGGTAGAGTAAGGTAGAGTAAGGTAGAGTAAGGTAGAGTAGGGTAGAGTAAGGTAGAGTAGGGTAGAGTAAGGTAGAGTAGGGTAGAGTAAGGTAGAGTAAGGTAGAGTAGGGTAGAGTAAGGTAGAGTAGGGTAGGGTAGAGTAGGGTAGAGTAGGGTAGAGTAGGGTAGAGTAGGGTAGAGTAGGGTAGAGTAGGGTAGAGTAAGGTAGAGTAGGGTAGCACGGTGGTGCAGTGGTTAGCGCAAAGGTCCAGGGTTCGATTCCACCTCCAGGGCCTTTCTGTGTGGAATTTGCATGTTTTCCCCGTGTCTGCGTAGGTTTCCTCCGAGTGCTCCGGTTTCCTCCGAGTGCTCCAGTTTCCTCCGAGTGCTCCGGTTTCCTCCGAGTGCTCCGGTTTCCCCTACCACTAACAATATGTAGGCGACCTGCTCCCATCTCTGTGTGGGGGGGAGAGACAAATGCCCACAACAATTGTAAAGTGCTTTGTTACTCTGGTCCGTGAAAGACACTACATAAGTAGAGATTACTTACTTACTTACTTAAGGTAGGGTAGGGTACGGTAGGGCAGGGTTTGGTAGGGCAGGGTTTGGTAGGGTAGGGTTTGGTAGGGCAGGGTTTGGTAGGGTAGGGTTTGGTAGGGCAGGGTTTGGTAGGGCAGGGTTTGGTAGGGTAGGGTTTGGTAGGGTAGGGTTTGGTAGGGTAGGGTTTGGTAGGGCAGGGTTTGGTAGGGCAGGGTTTTGTAGGGTAGGGTTTGGTAGAGTAGGGTTTGGTAGGGCAGGGTTTGGTAGGGCAGGGTTTGGTAGGGTAGGGTTTGGTAGGGTAGGGTTTGGTAGGGTAGGGTTTGGTAGGGCAGGGTTTGGTAGGGCAGGGTTTGGTAGGGTAGGGTTTGGTAGTGTTATAGAAATCTTACTGGGATTATAAATCAATTTAACTTAAGAATGAATCTAATGATGAAATAGGATATCTGGGACAAAGTTCAAAGCCAGTAAATCTGTTCAAACTAACTAAACTGTTGTTCTGTAGGGACGCGAGGCCAATGACGGGGTGGAGGCAGATACTAGCTTGATATCAGGGGCAAGAAGAGCGTGCTCACCGGTCAGACTGACCATTCTTCCTAATATCAGAGTAATATCAGAGTCTATCAGAGTAAGACGTCAGAAGAGAGGGGGGTTTGGGCAATAGCTTCCACTTAATCTCGGACTCAGAGACGCCATAGATAGACTCTTCTGTTTGTTCCATCCTATAAATGTGAGAGAGAATGAGCACTATTCAGCAGATCTACCCGGGACCTGCCACGCGGTTACACGGTTGTATTTCCTGTATATGTATACATTTACTGAGATAATAAACCACACTTTGATTTGAATTACAGCTCTTGTTGTTTATTTTATATTTAATATTGTGTATTTCACTCCTTAGAAATTCCACAACAGTAGGGTAGGGTTTGTAGGGTGGACAGAGGGCTACACTGTATGTTCATGTCACCCTCATGTTAAAGCTCTGAAGAGTCTGAATCCAGCGGATGAGTCTGTTGTCGCCTTTGACACAACATACATGTGTTGTGGTCATCTTCACAGGCTTTCTCTTTTCATAACTATAAATAAATAGGTTTTTCTTGTACTTATGTAACCTCAAGGGAGCAGCCACGTCGCAATCACAGCACAATTTAGGTTCTACAAATACATAGTTACGACAAATGCTTATTAAAAATGTAAAGGTAAAGGTCCACTTTCTTAATCCCCGTAGGGCAATTCATCCTTTGCATTTGACCCTGATGCCACTAAGGCTTACGTCAGGAGCAGTGGTCGCCGTAGTAACAGCGCCCGGGAACCATCTCCAGATGTTGATGCTCGGCTTGGTCAGGACCAGAGCTGGAGGATTTAACCTAGTGAGCATGTTTTTAGTGGTAGGGGAAACCAAAGTACCTGGAGGAAACCTACGCAAGCACGGGGAGAACATGCAAACTCCACTCAGAAAGACCCTGTTTCGACGGGGATTCGACCTTCTTGTTGAGAGGCGAGAGTGCTAACCACTCAGCCACTGTGCCGCCCAATGATTATTTATCAGTTAATATTTCTTTAACTCTTTCTCTCTTTCTCTCTCTTTCAGGGTGTCACATCCCCGCCATCATGGTGAATATGGTTCACCTGTTTGAGCTCAACATTTAGACAACCTTTGAGGCTGTTTCTGAGCTCTATTAAGCTTTTGCAACTGACTGCGCAAAGAGAGATAAAGAAGCAGAGCTGGAGATGGAAAGTAGAGGGAGTCAGGAATCTCAGCCCAAATCAAGGAGGAAGAGGAAACTTAGAGACTCCAAGGAAATGGAGGCTGCCATCAATCAGTACAAGCAAGAGGCGGAGTCTGGAAAAACACCAATTTTCCGCCATTTGGCCAAAACTTGGAATGTCCCGAGATCAACTTTGCAACGGCGAGTGAGACGACGAGGGCTCAAAGTTCAACCTGTCCCTGTGCTGAAAGTCTCCATGCCCCCAGAGGCTGAAGAAGACCTTATTAACACTTTGATATCACTGTCCCAACAAGGAGTTCCACTAAGACCTTCACACATTAGGTCTGTGGTCTTCCACTTTGCCAAAACAAAGGGCATTGCAGGATTCTCTGATAAAAAGGATAAAGCAGGATTGTGCTGGTTGAAAAGTTTCTTGAGTCGAAATGCATTTGTGCTCTCGAAGATATCCAAAAGGTCTTCATGCATTGACAACACAAGTCTCGAAACAACAGAAGTGGATGAAAAAATAGAAAGTTCAAATGGAGAAAAACCAGAGGAGCCACTGAATGCAACCTGTGTGATAGATTTTAGTACATGGTGTGAGGAGAGTATGGATGTTTCCATTAACCAGTACGAGACGGAGCAAGATTCTGAAACTAATGATGTATTAAGAGTACAGAATGTGGATCACAGAACTGAACAATGTGACCAAAAACAGCCAAAAGCAAGAACCAGGAAACTACAGAAACTATGGCATGGGGAGAACATGAACAAGAACCAGGAAGATGGAGATTCAGTGGGAAAGCCAAACCTATACCTTTCAGAAAACATGGTCAATGTCCCTAAATCGCAAAGTTCTAGGAGGACACTTTTGGTTCCTCCAGGAGTTGAACAAGACAACAATGAAACGGCACAAATACCATCGACTGAACAAATACGTCCAAATCAAGAAGAGCAGACGAAAGCAACAAAAATTAGACAATTCAACAAATGGAGTGAGGAGAAAATGAAGTCTGCTATAAACGAGTACCAGCAAGAGCTAAATTCAGGAAAAGTACCAAGTATACGCAAGTTGGCAAGACATTGGAACGTCCCCAAAGCTACTCTGCAAAGGCGGGTGAAGGGGGTGGTCAGCGGGTTCCAACATGTCGCTACTGGGAGAAAAACCTTCTTTCCTCCTGAAGCTGAGAGGAACCTTGAAAACTCTTTGATGTCACTGGCCAACGAAGGGTTTCCTCTAACGCCCAACGAGATCAGGATATTGGCCTACCAGTACGCCAAGGAAAATGGAATACCAGGATTCTCTGATGAAATGGAGAAAGCAGGAACTTACTGGTATAAGGGTTTCATGAAACGTCATCCAAGACTGAGCACCATGTTGTCCAAAGATCTTTCAAAAGGAAACGTAGAAAAGGGGGAATTTAAGAAACAAAAAACAATGGAGAAGCATGAAAAGATAAAACACAAAACTGGCCAGAGTCAGCAAAATAAACCTAGAATATTGGAAATGAAAACAATGAATTCACGCGATGAGGAAACGGAAGCTACATTATTGAAAAATCGGCAAAAAATTAGGTCTGTGAACAAAGCAAAAGTATGTCTTTTGGCAAGAACCACTGGCAAGAAGGCCTTGTTGCCTTTTGAAACCGAAAAGGATCTTGCAAATAGTATCATATTAATGGCTGAAGAAGGATCCCCCCCAACAGCTACTCAAGTTCGAATTATGGCATTCAGGTATGCAAAGCAAAAGGGCATTCCAGGATTCTCTCAGGCTCAAGGGAAAGCAGGGTTGCAATGGCTGAAAGGGTTCATCAAACGGAATTCTAAAATGTGCCATAGTATTTCTCATGGGTTTTCTGATGTGACCTGTAGCTGCTTGTTAGAAGCAACAGAAATGGTTGAACAAGAAATCATAGACAATGCTGAAGATATAGATAACGACCATGAACAAGGTCAAGAAAAACAACGCAAAGCAACGAAGCAAAAGCTCTGGAATGAAGAGGGAATGCAGGCTGCTATAACCCAGTACCGACAAGAGTTAGAAGCTGGAATAAAGCCCAAAATACGCCTGTTGGCAAGGATTTGGAAAGTCCCCCGAACAACACTAAAAAGGCGATTGAAAAGTGGAATCAGTGGATTCTGTCCTCTTGGGAGAAAGGTCTTACTCCCTACTGAAGCTGAAAAAGATCTGGTGAAAACACTGGAATCCCTGTCCGAAATGGGGGTTCCTCTTACGTCCATAATTGTTCGAACTATGGCCTTCCAGTACGCTAAGGCAAATGGCATCCCCGGATTCTCAGAGTCACAGGAGAAAGCAGGGTTCTACTGGTTGAAAGGTTTCATGAAACGTAATCCAAATCTTAGCATCCACGTTCAGGATCATTCTAAAGTAAAAAAAAGGTCTGGTCCATTAGAATCAACTGAAATGCTGGAACCAATGCCAGGAGAATGTGAGGAGATAGACAATGTAGAAGGACTGGGTCAGGAGGAGCAAGCTAAGAAAAAGAAACAAGTGAACACATGGCATGAGGACAGAATGGAGGCTGCAATAAACCAGTATCAGCAGGAGTTAGCTTCCGGAAAGAAACCAATCGTACGCTCTTTGGCAAAATGTTGGAATGTGCCCAGATCGACTCTGCGAAGGCGGGTGAAAGGCGTGGTAATCGGATCCCGGTATGCTCTTGGCAAAAAAGCATTACTTCCTCCTGAAGCTGAAAAAGACCTTGCTACTACCCTGTTATCCCTCTCAAAACAAGGATTCCCTGTGACCTCTTCTGTTATCCAGACAATGGCCGTCAACTACGCCAGAGCAAATGGCATCCCCGGATTTTCAGAGGATAAGAAGAAGGCGGGTTCCCACTGGTTAAAGGGCTTTATGAAACGGAATCCAGAAATTGCTGCTAAAGATTCTGGAGAAGTATCAAACATTCTTGAGCAACAAAATTATGAGTCCTTGCTAACCATCTTGGGGATTAAAGATGGTCCATCACACATCTGGTGTTGTGATGGGATTGACCTGGAGAACAACAATTTCTTTGTCCAAATTTCTCAACATTCCCAACATTCCGAGTCCAGCGACGAGATACCTGAGAGGGTCTCCATTCTTTCAGGGTGTAATGCAGTTGGAGCATTTTCACCGACTATGGTCATTTTCAAAGAGAGAACTGTTCAGGATTCTTTCTTGTACTCTTCAAATAACGAAGTTTTTGCAAGATCATCAGAGAATGGGTCGATCACTGCTGAGTTCCTCAAAGAGTGGGGGCAGGAGTTTGTGTCGAACTTGCCAAAAGATGACCCTCTTCCACATCTCTTGCTCATATATGGTCCAACGAGTGGCTTTGTCAATTCTGACCTTCTCAAATACCTGAATCAACACAATGTTTATGTAATGAGCTGTTCTGTACAAAGCAGCCAACAGTTCCCAACGCCTCATCAGGTTTTGTTCAAATGTTTGCAAGAAAACTGGTCCATCGCTGCGAACGAGTGGAACAGAGACACGTTTGGAATGGCAATGTCAAAAGTCATTTTCTTCTCACTGTTTCTTGAGGCGTGGAAGAAAAGTTCCACAATAGAGAATGTTGAGGTGGGGTTCAGAGATTCAGGGTTGTATCCAGTCATGAAAAATGTATATGTTAACGGGATGATTCTATAATTTAGGTCTTTTTCACATAATAGCTGTTCTTAAAGTTTCTCATGTATTCAACCATTTTGTTCAACTGCGTAACATGAATGTTCTGTTTTAAAAATACAACACAAAATGAAGTCTGTTGGACACTAGTGTTTATTTCTCTTTTGGCACTGGCTGTATTCGTTAAACTGGTTTTAATTCTGATCAGTCTGCAGGCCAAATCCTATTGAACGATTGACTCTTCATGAAATACTGAACTTATATTAACGGCTTATTAACCAAGCAAGCGAGGTTAATAAATGTTTTATTATATGACTATTTTTAATTTGTGCAAATATCGATCGGTTTCAACTGCAAAAACACATGCAACCAAACTGTCAAACTGTGACATGGAGAACTTCTCAGATGATTGAGGCGCCCGCTGTAAGTTCTCTGTCTGTGTCTTTACCAATGCTTTTTACATATTTGTGAAGTATGTTCATGTCCGACTTGGTTTTCCTAATCCTGTTTTTACCTTTCTGATCTGTAACAAAGTTGTCAGTCTCTTCTTGACTGTTAGGAGTTGTGTTTTCGTCGTTATTTGCTGTTATTACTTCCTCTGGCTCTTCCAACTCGTCCTGATGATAGAATTCACTGAGAATGCTCTCAGTCGTCACACATTATTTCTTATTTACTGAGGAAAGATATCAAATCTGATACGCGCTGCGGACCAATTGTCATGGTAACGGTCCGAGATGGGAAAATATCAGACCGGTAATCAGCCAATCAGAGCGCGCGTACGATCCAAGTCATACAATAACAGTTATTATTATATGACTTGGATCGTACGCGCGCTCTGAAAAAGCATTGGTAAAGACACAGACAGAGAACTTACAGCGGGCGCCTCAATCATCTGATCAGTTCTCCATGTCACAGTTTGACAGTTTGGTTGCATGTGTTTTTGCAGTTGAAACCAATCGATATTTGCACAAATTAAAAATAGTCATATAATAAAACATTTATTAACCTCGCTTGCTCGGTCTGTACAGAGCGCGGCCTTTTTGTTCAGACCGAGCCGTGGCGGTCTGATTTGACTGCTGCAGCTTTTGGGAATTGCTTTAACGCCTGTGGTCTCTCTTCATAATGCACATCTATAAACCTGCGTGATCAGAGTCTCTGAGCTCGGCTGGTCACTCGTTGGATGGGAGACTAGTGTTCAATTACAATAATATTTCCTCAGTTATTCAGATACATTTTAAGATGACTCAATTCAAAGCCACACATGGGAACAACATGTTAGTGTATTATTTCATCATTTTATCACAATAAATAAATATACAGAATGTGAGGTTGTCAAAAAATCAACAAAAAAATGTCATCCCCGGGGGCAATATGAGGTTAAGTGTCTTGCCCAGGGACACAACAACAGCAGACTTCAGTGAAAGCAGATGACATGGGTCGTTTAAATCTAAACTAAAAAAGTTTAGATTTAAATGATATGACTCAAAACTAAAACAAAGATTGTCACTTCATACTCAGTTGTCATGCAAAATAAATGACACAAACAAAATTGGGACATATCCTTTATTTTTGTAATAGTTTACAGCTCAACAAAGACACACCGCAGATGTTCTGATAATGGTAAAGATATTTCATTGATATCACAAATAAGTTTTAAATGTTAGTATTGTGACTGACTTTGAGTAAAACTGAATGACGTGGACGTGTTTATAAATGCATTGCTGCTGATATGCCCCTGTATTAACTGTAAGTAAATACTGCAACTTCAGAACGTCCACTGAATGTCTCTTTATCTACTTATCCTGCCATATATGTACAGTATATAACTTTGCACTATACATAGATATTTTGTAAGATTGATATTGAAGCGTTTACGGCTAAGAAACGTAGCAGCTACTTATTGTGTGTGCTCCCTGTGTAAGTAATATTTATTTATATACCGCCTTTCTCAGACCAGAGTCACAAAGCAGTCTACAATTGTTTTTTTTAGGCATTAGTCTCTCACTCCACACAGAGATGGGAGCGGGGCCAGTACAGGAGGCGCATGCCAGACCTATTGAACATGTCTTTAGTGGTAGGGGAAACCGGAGTATCTGGAGGAAACCTATGCAGACCATGCAAACTCCACTCAGAAAGGCTCTGGTCCGACCGGGATTCGAACCCAGGATCTTCATGCTGAGAGACGAGAGTGCTATCCACTCAGCCACCGTGCCGTCTCTCATACTGTCCTGTAAGTGCGCTGCAACATTGAAATTTCCCTACTGCCGCACAAATAACGGATCTTAATTAAAAACCTTACAAATTACATTAAAAACATCTGTTGGAAAACTACATATTTTGGGGTCATTTTTCAGAATTCCACAGGTTTGAATGGGACAGTCAAAACGACGGCTCTCGGAGTTGTAGAAGTTTGAGAATTCTGGGAGTCTTCTTGTTGCGTTGGGGTCACAGACTACACTGCACTACATCCCCCACAATGCCCCTCGCCAGCCTCCCCACTGAACTCACTTCCGGTCTGTGTTGGCGGGCAGAACTCTCTCTTCTCCGCTGCCGCCTGTTGTTAGCGACGCGCCGATTCTCCGCCATCGAGCACTTCGCCTCCGCAGGCTCTCTCCGCCGGGGCATCGTCATCCGCAGCAGGCCTCCTCTCCACGGCTCTCCCTGCTCCTTGTGACCGCTCCCCCTCTCGCTGTTTGCGGACGCGGCGGTGCCTTTGTCTGGGCCTTGCGTGGAAGGTGAGAAGCACGGAGCTTGGAGCCTCCATGTTGGTCCTCATGGTGCAGAGGCATGGGCTGGGGCATGTGCAAACCCCTGCAAGCCCCCAGCCCCAGCCCCTTCGGTGCTGGGGCTGGGGGCTTGCAGGAGTTTGCATGGATCTTTGGTGACTGCGTGTCTTTTGTGATGGAGGTCTGTGCTCCGTGAGGACACGCTGTTCAGAGCTGCTGTCGGTGCACGGTCCTGGTCTGCACTGGAACACTAGTCTACTTTTGTTATAGACGTTGTTGTTTGTATATCTCGCACGTGTGCAATGGAAACCACTAGAAATGGCCGGTTTTAGTCGATGAATCGAAGTTTTCTTTGTCGAACAAGACTCATTTTATGTCAATGACAAGGATTTCTAAGGAGAAAAGGGCATCGATTAGAAGTGTTGGTGCAGATTATGTGAAACACAAGCCAGATGAATATTTCTTTTAGCAACTCGATCAATGCTAAAAAGATGCTCTTGTGTCTTGATTTTTATGGCAAAAAAAAAAAGTTTGAGTACCGTTTGGGTCTGGTACATGTTACACGCCCCCTTTTTACCGATCTCTCCAATGGGCGTGTCTTAGGATGTAGTTCATAGGCGTCTCCAAGATGTCAGCCAGTTCTAATCAATGGTCTGACTTGATTGGGTCATTCTTGACCGTGGACGTCCTAAACCTTAGCGTGTGATGTTCTGACCAGCCCTGGTTCTCCCGGTCCAGTACAGTGGTTCTACTTCTGCAGGATTGGAGTGATCCGCGCCGCTGACCCGGGTGGAACGAGTATAAGATTTTATAATACTGAAGTGTGGGTTTAATAATGTTAATAATAATGCTTCAGTTTTATATACTTTTTTGGACATTCAAAGTCTCCTCACATCTTATTATTCATTCGCTCCAAACACATGATGATGATGAATTGTTACTGTAGCCACAACTGCCCCGGGGCTGAAAGAAGCAAGTCAACCAGTCTGTGCCATCAGCCCCTCCCACCACCACCAACCGTTCACACACACACTAGACTGATGGGCCGTTCAGACCGGATCATGCTGCGGCTTCAATGTGAAGTCAATAGTGCAAAGGAGTAGAATCCTCCTCCGTTAAAGAAGCACACGTAGCATTAGTCGACCTTAGCTGTGCCTTTGTAGAAGAAGGATTTTAAATGTAATTCTATTCTCCACAGGAAGCCAGTGGAGTGATTATATCACTGGAGTTATGTGCTCCCTCCTTCTGGTGCCTTTAATTGACCACAGTGTGTTTGTTTACAAGATCTGGAGAGGTTCGGTACCATGCTGTCGACAAAGAACATATGTTTAAAAGACACTTGTTGCAGTAGACTGTGTAAAGCTGTGGGGTCCTCTCCTCGCAGGTTAACACCGTCTACATCCTGCACGAGTCGCTGAGTGTCGGAGATGTTTGGTTTTTTTCAGGAGCTTCAGACTCTTCAGTGATGTTCCATTTTAGATCCTCTGACGTGTTCTTTGCTAAAGGAGACTGACGGCCTTTACAGCGTGTGACGCTCAAGCCTATAAATGAAGCTAGTTTTCAATCAGATGGAATGAATGTGATCATTTCAATCAAATAGATTTGACTTCAGCGTGGCCTAATTGTACATATAATTGTTAATGCGTAAACGTCTTAAAACAAACGTAAAAGTATGAAGGTATTGCGACATTTGGCTCTGAGGCATTTTATTGTTAATGACAATTTAAGAACCAAAAACTTGGAATGATCCCTTACTTCCCACATTCCTTTCTTCCCATGTTCTACATGTTCTTCTCCTGATTCAATGTTTCCTCCTCCGTCTGAGCGCTCTTTCCCTGCTCCAGGCCACACTGTTGGATGTTCTGTGGGAGTGAAGACCCGCTCTGCCTCAGCAGCAGGTTTTCATACCTCAGACCTCTGTCCTGGTGGAACTCTGACTCTTGTCCTGTTTGTGTGTTTGACAGAACTTGGTAGACGTGAACCATGGCAGCTGTAGCGAAGAAGACCAAGAAGCCTGAGGAGGAGGAGACCCCTGCAGCAGCAGCTCCTGCCGCAGCAGCCACCGACGCCCCTGCTGCAGAGGCCCCAGCCGCAGAGCCAGCTGAGGAAGAGGAGGAGGAGTATGTGGTGGAGAAGGTTCTGGACCGTCGCGTGCACAAGGGCCGCGTGGAGTTCCTGCTCAAGTGGAAAGGCTTCTCCAAGTGAGTACCTCCTGCAGCGAGCCGCTCAGTCATAGAGATAGAAATGCATCAAACTTGTACGGTACATTTTTGGACTTAAATAATGCCTTATATTTTTAAAGCACTTTGTTTTGTCGACACATGGTTTGGTTCCACCACCAGATAAAACGTGTGATTGTTTAAGATCAATGCAGGATTGCAACCCGGACTCTGTTCCAACCAGACTGATCTGTGTCCGGCTGTGATGGAGCAGCAGGTCAGCCCCCCGGTTCTGTTCAGCCCAGTTCTTTTCAGTCCGGTTCTTTTCAGCTCTGTTCTGACATCAGGAGGCAGTGATGAAGCAGATGTTTTCATGACTTTCTCAGCTCCAGGTTATATTCACCCGCGACTGTCACAGCTGCTGCTCTTCACTGTTCATGTCGTTCTTCTGCTGTTTGTTCTGCACATCCTGTAGTGATCAGATTGCCTTATTAGCCTTTACAAAACAATAGAATGCTTTCATTGTAACTTGATCAATTAGGCCTTGGGTATTTTATGATTTTCATGATTTAAAGTCTTTTTTGATGTCTTTGATCTTTACGTCACCTCACTGGAGGGGAGGAGCCTGAGCTCGTGGGGGAGGTTGAGAGATACCGACTAAAGATAGTCTGCCTCACCTCCACACACAGCTTGGGTGTTCCGGGCACGTCCCACCGGGAGGAGGCCCCGGGGAAGACCCAGGCCAGCTGAGAGACTATGTCTCTCAGCTGGCCTGGGAACGCCTTGGGGTCCCCCGGACGAGCTGGAGGAAGTGTGAGTCTGGGCGTCTCTGCTTAGACTGCTGCTCCTGCAACCCGGCAACGGATGAAGCGGATGAAAACGGATGGATGTTCTGTGCATGGTACTGGTCACATGGTACAGGTCACCGCCACCTGGTGCCCAACAAGAGAAGGAGAAACATCTGATCTCTTCATAGATGTTTCTCCTGAGATCCTCTGGTTGTTCATGATTGATCACTGTAGTTATTCTTGTTTCCACTTCATTGTTTTGACTCAACGGAGGCACAAAGACAGTGAATGCTGAATTGTCCCTAAGTCCATGTCCTGTGTCCGACAGTGAGGACAACACGTGGGAGCCCCAGGACAACCTGGACTGTCCCGACCTGATCGCTGAGTACATGGACAAGCACCACAAGGAGAAGGAGGAGAAGAAGAAGGAAGGCAAGAGGAAGTCTGCAGCTGGATCTGGAGACGCAGACGAGCGAGCCAGCAAGAAGAAGAAAGACGAGGTGAGGCCCCCTACAGGCCAGGAGGGTCACTGCAGCTGTGTGGAGAGTAACAGTAAAATAGTTCGATGTTTTTGACTCATCGGTCACCGGGACGATTACAGAAATGTTTATGGATCATGTCTGTAGGACTGTGTGAGCCTGTAGGACTGTGTCTGTAAGCCTGTAGGACTGTGTCTGTGAGCCTGTAGGACTGCCTGAGTCTCTTCCTCATGTGTTGTTTCTGTTTCAGGGAGAAAAAGCCCGAGGTTTTGGTCGAGGTTTGCAGCCGGAGAGAATCATCGGAGCCACAGACTCCAGCGGAGAGCTCATGTTCCTCATGAAATGGTCAGTGCACATGCTAACGCGCTCATGCTAACGCGCTCATGCTAACGCGCTCATGCTAACGCGCTCATGCTAACGCGCTCATGCACCAGTGTGCGCATGCTAATAGGTCTCGACCTGAACTCACTTTCTTTAGCAGCGAGTAGCACGAGGAGAGACAGATCAGTGATTGGTGTTTGGTAACTACAAAATTAGCATACATTTGTTTTCATAAACGATGAAAAGATTAGAAAGTACATCTGACATGTTGTGGAATGAGAGACTGAGGCAGGAGGAAAACAGCCAAGGACGGGCTTCATTTGGAGCCAGTTTGAGCAGTAAATGTGTCTCTAGAGTAGATGGAGACCATGTGGAGGGTCAGAGCAGCAGACCATGTGGAGGGTCAGGGCAGCAGACCATGTGGAGGGTCAGGGCAGCAGACCATGTGGAGGGTCAGAGCAGCAGACCATGTGGAGGGTCAGGGCAGCAGACCATGTGGAGGGTCAGAGCAGCTGACCATGTGGAGGGTCAGGGCATCAGACCATGTGGAGGGTCAGGGCAGCAGACCATGTGGAGGGTCAGGGCAGCAGACCATGTGGAGGGTCAGGGCAGCAGACCATGTGGAGGGTCAGGGCATCAGACCATGTGGAGGGTCAGGGCATCAGACCATGTGGAGGGTCAGAGCAGCAGACCATGTGGAGAGTCAGAGCAGCAGACCATGTGGAGAGTCAGAGCAGCAGACCATGTGGAGGGTCAGGGCAGAATGACCATGTGGAGGGTCAGAGCAGTGGACAGAAGAGACCATGTGGGGGTTCAGAGCAGCAGACCATGTGGAGGGTCAGAGCAGACTGACCAGCAGTGCACCCCAAAAAAGCCACAGAAAAATGAACTGTCGCTAAAACTATCACTGAGTCCGCACCAGGAGCCAGCAGCAAAGTCTAGTTATGGTGACAGCTCTCGCTGGACTAGACAGAACAACACTCTGTAGATGTAACCACACAAACACACACAAACGTGTGCATAAACGCACAAACATGCCCGCCCAAACACACAACAGTATTCAATTGCACATATAGTATAAGTATATTGTCTGTTCACTTTGAATTGTCATTTATAGTGTTGATCATTGATTTGCTGTTATTGTCATAGATATAGCGCCACCTAATGGGTGTCATGGGCTCTACTTTCAATATGTAAATGTTGACGTTTTTTGGATAAGTACATTTTGAAATATTCATGCAACATTTTGTGGATGTGGGTGTGTGTGCCATAAAACGTATTATTTTGCATCAAAAACACTTTCTCAGAACTTTTGTTATTTTCAAACATGTAAGATCCTGGACATGTTTGAGGAGACGCTAAAGCAGGGGTCTCAAACCGGCTCCAGAAAGAGCCATGTGGCTGCAGGTTTTACTTCCAACAGTTTCAAACTCAAATCTTCAGGTTAAAATTGGACTCACCTGAGGAGTGGGTGGAGTCATCTGTGCTCCTGCTCAGTTTGGAACTGTTGGAAGTAACACCTGCAACCACACGGCTCTTTCTGGAGCTGGTTTGAGACCCCTGTGCTAAATTGTTTTCTAACATGTAAGACACTGGACATGTTTGAGGAGATGCTAAAGTTGAACTAAATTGTTTTAGAATCACTTCTGTTTTTCTCAGTGTTTTGTCAAAGACTTTGTGATTTCTGCCAAGCTTCCCTCTTTTCCACTGGAGATCACAGGAGATCACAGGAGAACTAAACTAGCTACAAACAAACTCCTTTTTGCTGCCGAAAGTAAACAGTCCCGTCTTTGACACAGTCACAGCTCAATATTCTGTGGGTCTTGAAAATCAGTGAAACAATCCAAAACGGCAGCAGTCCATGAGTTAAGAAGTCCTGTTCCTGATTCCTCATGTTTTGTGCCGACAGGAAAAACTCTGACGAGGCCGACTTGGTTCCCGCCAAAGAGGCCAACGTGAAGTGTCCACAGGTCGTGATCTCCTTCTACGAGGAGCGCCTCACCTGGCACTCCTACCCCAACGAGGAGGAGGAGAAGAAGGAGGAGGAGAAGAAAGACTGAACCTCTGTGAGCCCCAGGACCCGCCCACACTGTCCAGAGCTCCTCTCGCTCTGACGGCTTCAGCGCCCCCCTCTGGACAGTGTGGGCGCTGCCTCGGTACATGATGGACAAACAGAGACATTACGTCACCTCTCATGTGTTACAGCCGCCACACGCCGCCGGACCGACCCCCGCAAGCTCCAGAGACGCATTTTTAACGAAGCATTTATGTTTTTTTTATCTCGTCTTGTTCACACGCTCGTCAAGTATGGTTGAATGTAAAAAAAAAAAAAAAAAAACAGAATTTCTGCAGCGGAAAGAACCAGTCCATTCAAAGTCAACGGTTAAAGTTCGGGCGCGGTTTGGTGACGCTCGGCACCGATCACAGCCACAGCAGTCGCGGCGTCTGGTGTTTTAGCTCTTTATACTGTGTTCTGCGGCATCTTTTTCATCAGTAATGTTTTAGCGTAGTTTAGTTCACTTTTCTATCCGCTCTGATGTCGTGACGTAGTCTGTGCCGTCCCGTTGCATGTTCCTTTGTTTCTATTATAGCTTCTGTCATATAAAGTTGATTCTACAATAAAGTGTATTTTTGTTTTCGTAAACGTGTCATTTTTACTGCGTTGTATAAAAAGTGTTGCACAAGAATTAACATTTTTAGATTAAATTATTTCTCTTCAACTTGTTACTGATGTTTCAAAAGTAATGAGTTATTACAATATTACTGTCTCTGAATCTTAAAGTATTATTCTGAAGTTACAACAAATATATATATATAACACAAGCTAAACGTAGCTTATGATGCTATATATAAACACAAACTTATGCTAGCTTGAGGCTGAGGCTTTTTGTTTGAACATAAACTTAACTTTTGTTCCACATCTTTAACAAACTCTAAATAATGTCCATCTGTAAAATGTGATATTGTCCATAGTTCTGCTTCAGCGTCTTCTGTGGCAGTCGGGAGTTCCACCAGCCGCTCACACAGGAGCCTTGATCTTTCAGCGGGGGCTTCAGGCAAAGTGGGGTTAAGTGTCTTGCCCAGTGGGAGTCGTGGTGGGCTCGAACACATGACCTTCAGGCTCAAAGGCCAATACTCTACAACTGAGCCACTGTCAAAGTATCTAGTTAGCACCATGTGAGCAGATGTGTCTCCTGCCGGTCTCACGGAGCAGAGGATCAAAACAAAACACTAATCTAGTTCAAAGAGTTATTTTGGAATTCCTAACATTACTGCGATTACTTTAATTACTCTTGGCACTGATCAGGATGGGTAAAGACATCTATGCCAACAGAAACCATGGCTGTGATGTTATGTGGCGGGTGTTGCTGCTTCTACATGGACTAGAGGCCACCTGCGGTACTGCAGCTTGAATCCACAATTTTACCATCCTGGACTTTTCTATTAAAATCGATAATATTTCTATAAATCCACTTTAATGCCACTGTGGGGAAGCCGGCCCGAGTGTCAAAGTGAGACAGCAGAAGTAACATTCAAAGTTGCCGAAAGATTTATTTTGCACAACAAGCAATCCTGTCCCTTGGGTGTGACTCCCCCTGACGAGGTTCACCTGTGAGCTTTTATCATTGTAGCTCCGCCCCAAGCCCCGGCGATCCAAGATGGCGCCCTATTCAAATGAATGGTTGTGCTCAGTGGCGCTTTGTGACGGCATGGGGGCTGAAAGATTAGCGGAAGTTGCCTGAAACTCGCAAAGATCTATGGGAAAATCGCCTGTATTTGGGCATCCTCTGGTCCTCCCGGTTATGCGCAGTGGATGACCTCCCATAATGCTTTGTGCCTCGAACAACGAGAACGCGGACCTCAAGCGGGAGCGTGCAGCACCACAGACTCGTGAACGCGCATGAATCGAGCGAATTAAGTTCTATCACTGTTTAAGTAAAGATTGATATTAAAATATATGTACAATTGATCAATTATTTTAAGATGGTGTAGAGCAGTATGACAGAGCCTTCTTGTTGTTGATTCTTAATCATTATCTACTAAGTATTTATGATAAGCTAAATGTACAATGATTATATACTTTTTCGTAACGCTTATACTGTGGCATTCACCTGTAGGCCGCCGTGTTTTAAGCAAAATGTCAGTGATGTGTTAACAAGTACTGCAAGATAATTAAGACCATTGTGGATAGATCAAAAAGCTATGATTTAGTCTTTTGTCCTCGTGAATTGTAATTATTATATTAACGTAATTAATAAGTATTATTCTCTATATACACACACACATTATGTATGTATATATATATATATGTGTGTGTGTGTTTTCCATGAAAAGTCACACTTGTTCACCACCACACGTTGTGAAATGAATAGAAAATAGAGTCAAGACATTGACAACGTTAGAAATAATGATTTGTATTAGAAATAAGATTTGTTTTACATCCAACTTTGCTTTTGTCAAAGAATCCTCCATTTGCAGCAATTACAACATTGCACCAAAAACCAGACATTTGCAGCTAGAACAGCAGTCATTTACCACATAAGCAGTGTACAGAGTGTATTTCTTTACAGTTAAGACTAGTTTAAAGTTATCTACAGCTTTTCCTTCAACATTGAGGACAATTCAATGTGACCCCAAACTTTTGAACGGTAGAGTATATATTCAGGACTCCCTTGAAAAGGGGGTTCTTTATCTCAATGGGACTTTTCTGGTTAAATAAAACAAAACTAGTTAAGCCACGTATTTGTTTCAGCTGTCTATAATAGGATATTCAAGTATGTATATCTATTTCATTTGCTTAACTCTGGAAATTATGTTACTGTGTATTTATTTATAAGTTATCATATTTATATTTTCAAATTAAATTATAAAAAACAAGTTGCATTTGTTGTTGTTAAATATGTTTCGATTTTATGTAATTAAGATGAGATTTGTACATTTTTGATTTACAATGACCATGAGTAGAAAACTGAAGGGCGATCGAACTAAGCAACAAAATTTATTTATTTTAAATTACAATGTGAATCCTAATCTGCATTAGCACTTGCCACATGTATTACAGCAAAACATGAATGCATTTACTTAAAATGTGTGTGTCTGTGCTGCCTTTGACTGGCAGGGTTACAACATTCATGGTGAATACCTAAACTCTCTCGCCAGCTCTTGTGTAATCATCACGTTTGAGTTTTGCCTGGCCTGCCAAACGATATGCTTTTTCAAAGACATATAGTCTGGGAACGAGCTTGATCTCAGCGAATTCCCGGTGGGCGTGGTTGACAGACTGCATCAACCAATTAGATGCACACAGGATATGACGCAGCAACTAGCGGCACCCAAGCCGTTTCAGTAAACACAAAACAAGGGATGGCGGCATGTCAGCTAGTGCAAATGTAAACGACTGTTGTCGATTTTGTAACAAAAACTTAAAGATACGAGGAGTTATTAGCAACTCAAAGGTGAAAGGAAGTCCCGCCTCTCGGTGCGTGATTGGACCGATGTGGGTAAAATCGTGAAATGATAGGCTAGGAAGAGGTGTCCAGACGGTTCTTCTTTTGAACAGAAAGGATGAGTGTCTGGCAGGCCAGGCAAGTTTGAGTTCGGTTTTGATATGGACGCTGTAAAGTCAATAGCTATGTTTATTGTACTCATATTGGTATAAATGACTGTCATACGAATTCACACGACTCCAAACGCTGTAGGAAAGACCATACATAGACTCTTAATGAAGCTAACAATAACCACAACAATGCTGTCAATGTACATTTCGTGTTTATCTGGTCAGTTCGGTTCAGTTTCCTCCCTCGCTCCTCTGTCATCAACAGAGCCGAATGGAGCGCGTTCACGCGAGGAACGCACGCTCGTATGGTTCTCATGCACGCGAGCAGAGGGGCTTGGCAACGTCTTGACCAATCAGCGAGCTGCGGATGCTAGAGCGGCGGAAGAGCGGGAAAAAGAGAGCAGAGTTTGTTGCACTAAAGTGAAGATTAAAAGAAAACCTATTGATTTAAAAAGAAAAAAAGTTCAGGATGACAAGGGGCACTAAAATCCCCACAAAATCCGACCTTAATGAAAGCTGTAGGTTCTCTGTCAGCTGAGGTCGAGCTGTTTTAATTTGCATTGAGTTCTATGGGAAAAATTTCTGGGTGGCCCACGTGAATTTAGTCTGGTCTAGTCTGCAGTACCGCGAGAATCCCCTGAGCACATGGGTTATTCAGCTATAAGCTAGCAATACCCTATCCAGTTAATATAATACATCCATGCTCCGCCCACATGAGTTTGCCTACAAAACAAAATGGCTGTCCGAGACACACCCTCTTCAACAGGTAATACATTCAATAAAAGTGGCATTAAAAGGGACAAAGGAACCTGCTTTGTCACAGCCACACTCGCTCTCGTCGCGCTCTGATTGGTCGGAAACACAGCTGTATATTTAAGGATTATAAAGATCACTCACGAACCCAGACATTTCAAGAAACATTTTATTCAAGCAGAACAGAAACCCAACCTTAGCTTAGAGAACAAAGCCAATACACAATAAGGCACTTCAAAACAAAGAAGAAGAAATCAAAATAAAAATTCAATTTGAATCAAACACTAAAGTTAATTTGAACCCATTTTTAATTCAAAACTTGGAAAAACGTGAAGACATGCACCGTGGAGTAACGCAGCCTCCAGTTCACAATCTCTGAGGTAGAAACATGGATCTGTGGCATCGGGGGAAACTGGCAACGTGTGAGTATTTGATAGTATCGTGATATTTCGGCCACAAATCAATATTATTGCAATTTTTAACATGTCGCGATATATTGTGATTAAGAAGGAAGCGCAAAAACCTTATCCTTGAACATTCAGACCTCATTACAGAACTCCAGCTCCCAGCACATCAGAGAATAACCCATAATACTTTGCTGTACTGAATCGATGTAATTGTGTGGACAAAATATCGCGATATTGAACAGAATCGATATTTTTCCCCCCATCACAAATATTAGTCTTTGTGGAAGAAGCCGCTTAGAGCTCTCACCACTTCACCTTCTGCGTTAGCATCATCTGCTTCATCATGTGACTCGAAGATGAATGTCAGTGTTTTTAAATAAAGTTTACGGCTGAATTCTAGAGGTTTTGAGCTTCACTGATGCCTTTAAGGGTGGAGCTGAAGTTGGCTGGATGACACTGAACTCTCAAAGACGACTTGGTGTTAGCGACAGAGGGCCTTAGTTTAGCATGTTAGCATCGTCCATTCCTCTACACCAGGGGTCTCCAGCCTCTGCCTCCTTATTGGCCTAACTGACCGTGAGCTACTGCTGAACCATCTGAGAAATGTCTGTTTAATGTTTAAGGTCAAGTTTCTATCAATAGTCTGTATATAATATAATATATCATTTATCACAGCTTTCTTTATGAATCTTACATTTTGGAATATCTGTCATTTCTAAATTCTTTGGGGAGCTCCTTGCAACCGGGTGGGGAGCCACTGGTAGCTCCAGGGCTCTAGGTTGGAGACCCCTGCTCTATGTCTGCTCTGCGTCTGCTCTGCGTCTGCTCTACGTCTGCTCTAAGTCTGCTCTAAGTCTGCTCTAAGTCTGCTCTATGTCTGCTCTAAGTCTATGACTGAGACTTTAGATTGGGCCCGACCACAGCTGGTGGTACCTCTTCCAGTGGTGCCACCTTTAGGATCGCTGTGAGACGGAGACTAAGCTTCTGTCTCCTGCTTCCTCTGGAGACCCCTGAGAACCTCCTCCGCCCTCTGAGAACCTCCTCCGCCCTCTGAGAACCTCCTCCGCCCTCTGAGAACCTCCTCCGCCCTCTGAGACCCTCCTCCGCCCTCTGAGAACCTCCTCCGCCCTCTGAGCTCCGTTTCAGAACCACATCTTTCATCTTTTTGACTTTGACTAATTTCCCTGATCGTCTTTCCACATCCTGGCCTTTTGCCGTTTCGTTTTTAGACCTTCCTCTTCCTCACTCCTTGTCCGTGTGTTTGCGTGTTCTCCTCCCGCTCGGCCTCCTCGACACCACCTTCACGCTGCCGTCCGCCTCAAAGCTGAGCACAAACTCCTGAACGTCCAGCGCGCGGCCCTCTCCGTCTCTGAGCCTGGAGAACACGTCCTGGTACAGGCCGCTCAGACGCTGCTTCACCTCCTGCATCTCCCTCAGCGCCTCCTGCTTCTCCCTCAGGAGCCTCCACCTCCTCTTCCTCAGCGCGCTCACGTCTCGCTCCAGCCCCTGCAGCGTGCGCACCTTACGCTGGCGGCAGTTCTGGGCCGCGATCTTGTTCTTGCCGCGGCGGCGTACTTCTCTCACCAGGTTCAGCTGGTCCTCGCTGAGATCGTACCCCGCGAGGAGGTCGTTGAACTCCTCCACCGGGAGATGGACGATGAGGTCGTTGGAGAATGGGATCTTCAGGGCCTTGGCACGTCGCTCATCTCGGTCGCGGATCCGTGAAGGCGTCTGGTACGGGCTGTGGGGGCTGGGGGGGGCGCGGTCGTGTTTGGGGGAGGCGCGGTTGTGTTTGGGGGAGGCGCGGTCGTGTCTGGGGGAGGTGCGGTCAGGTCTGGGGGAGGCACGGTCAGGTCTGGGGGGCAACATCTTGGGTGAGAGCGTGGGCGGTTGGTTGTGGTAGGTGTGGTCGTGGCTGAGGAGGGAGAAGAGTTTGGATTCCTGGTCCTGGTACTGGTCCTGGTCCGAGTACTGGTCCTGGTCCTGGTATCCGCCCACAGCTCCCAGCTCCTCGTCCAGCGGCTCCTCTTTGATGTTCAGTTCTGTGGAGGCCGCTCTGTCGTTGGAGGATGAAGAGGAGGAGGAGTAGCAGGAGGAGTCTGAGTCGCCGGGAGAAGGAGGAGTGCGGCCGGAGTCCAGAGACAAACCCGAGTCCGAGTCCAGCTCCTCCTCGTCTGAAAACACATGGAAATGATCTTTAGAAATTACACTTTGAGGAGCACAGGGACTGGCCTCCTGCTGGGACTCTGAGGAGCACAGGGACTGGCCTCCTGCTGGTCCCAGAGTCAGAACTAAACATGAGGAGGCAGCGTTTCAGATTTATGCTAAAATCTGGAGCAGTCTTCCTGAAAATGTTCAAATCCAGGTTAAAAACAGCTGTGCTACAACTGACGTTATCTTGAATTTATTTTGTCTGAAACATTAAAGCATCTGACTGTAATAAACACAAACTGTTTGTATTGTTCGTACCTGGAGCAGTGCTGGTGCCGCAGAGGCTGAGACTGAGCTCTGGCTGCAGATAACCCCCCTCCTCCAGCCTGCTCCTCAGCTCTTCCCCAAAGCCCCCCTCCCCCTCCTCCTCCAGTAGGCCCAGCAGATCCATGTGCTCCAGCATGTCCTCGTCTCCCAGGAGCTGGTCCAGACCCCCACTCAGGTCCCCCAGCAGCAGAGGGGGCCCCTGGGTGTGGGGACTGGGGGGGGCCTCCAGCTGGTCACTGGGCACCAGAGGGAGCAGCTCTGCACCTGCACCACAGACAGCACCAGGTTAGATCAGAACTCAGACCTCTAGTGGCACATGAGGGTATTACACGGGACACTTATTATTTAATACGTTCAAACTGCTGTAGCCTCTACTCTACTCTACCCAACTCTACCCGACTCTACCCGACTCTACCCGACTCTACCCGACTCTACCCGACTCTACCCTACTCTACCCTACTCTACCCTACTCTACCCTACTCTACCCTACTCTACCCTACTCTACCCTACTCTACCCGACTCTACCCGACTCTACCCGACTCTACCCGACTCTACCCGACTCTACTCTACTCTACGTTAGTATCTGTTTACCGTATTCCATCAACCTTGGTAAATTCCTTGGTAACCATGGCTTCCAGCAGCACTTAAGAATCAGCTCGGCCTGGATAGAACCAGGACCAAGAGGGACTAAAGAAGGACCTGGTACTAGTTACACAGGACCAGAGGAAACACAACCAATCAGGGGAGAGTAGAGTAGAGTAGAGTAGAGTAGAGTAGAGTAGAGTAGAGTAGAGTAGAGTAGAGTAGAGTAGAGCAGTGTTGAGTAGAGTGGAGTAGAGCAGTGTTGAGTAGAGTAGAGTAGAGCAGTGTTGAGTAGAGTAGAGTAGAGTGAGGCCAAGTAGGGCTGGTGGAAATGGGGCTATTGATGTGGGGCTTCCATGGCATGTTATACATCATCAAACCACGTCATTTTCTTTGTTCTCAACATTAAACCCAGGACACAGTTATGGATCATAGTTGGTCAAATAAGAAAAGTTAAGAACCTTAAAAATTGTAAGAAAAGTGTTTTTGGTTCAGAAAAATTGGTTGAAAACAATCCAACTTCATCAAAACATAAGAACTTTCCATGAAGGAGACGAGCCCTTGGTGTAACAGTTCATATGTCGTTGGTCTGAAAGTCAGGTTCCCGAGCTTTAGTCTCAGTCTCTGGGTCCATGCTCACCGTGCTCACAGAACTGGTCCAGTAGGGGGCGCTGTGGTTCTCCTGGAGGCTCCATCGCCACATCCGCCTGAAAACATCACATTTACACGTTATCAGTTTCAACTCAATGTGTTTGTGTTTTGCCCTAAACCACAGAAGTCTTTACTAAGTTGTCGATTTGTCAACAGCAAATCAAAGAATCATTTTTCCCCCATTTTGCTTGCATTACGATCAGTTCAGCACTGTCATAGCTCATTATAAGGCTCAGAATCCAACCAAAACATAATCCATGCTGAGGAATCTGTCATGGCCTGGATTAGGATTTCAGACCCTTATGGAACCATGGCCCCGCTCCTTGAAAATAACTAACACTTCAATTATTTATTGAAGATTAATCCTGTTACCTGAGGCTCCATGAGGTCCAGGAGGTCCTGCCATTGCTCCTCCATGTCTGTGGGGGCGCTGTGGGGCAGCAGTGTACTCCCAGAGGAACACACCAGCTCCTTCAGCCACAAACAAAAATTAGAATATAACAAAGATGAACGGTTTTAACACAGACTGTTTACAGATGATGCTAAATGGAGCTAGCATGTTAGCATGTACCTGTCTACAGTATATTATATTATAGAACGTGTGGTCAGCTCATGTCGCTGTTACCTGGTCCTGGGTGAAGGGGAAGGACTGCAGCAGATGGAGACATTCTTCCAGAGCCGAGCCCTCGGAGCTCTGCATACCGCACCAAGAGGAAGCACAGTTACACATGTGTTCCTGGTCCTGAAACCTCTGACTCTTAACGACTGCTGTTGTTTATGATGAGGAAGTGTTAATAACATCTGTTTAATGTTTTGCTTTTATCCAATGTTTAGTTTATGATGTTTGTTGTTTACACAGAAAGCTTTTATATCAATGTTTTCAAACATGTGCCCCCTGGTGGAAGTCAGACTTTATGTCAGTGCGATTGTTTTAAAACTATTTTTTTAATGAAGAAAAACAGGAGCATTTATTTGACCACGAACATTGAACCTTGAACACAATAAGCTATATTTCTTTATGGTTATAGAAAGGAGGCTCCACAAACAGAGGGTCTTGGATGGATAAGGGGACTTAAAGCTAGCGTACGTAACTTTCTATATATTTAGTTCATGAACAAAGAAAGGTAAGTGCTGCCACCTGCTGGTCTGGAGCTGGTGCCTGGTCCTCGGGCTCCTCTTGTCCCCAGTCCTCGGTCTCTGCTGGGGACATGTCCTGGTCCGAGTCCACATGCTCTCGGTACACCTGAACACACACACACACACACACACACACACACACACACACACACTAAGAATTGTGCTATAATTCTATATACTGTACATATTGAATGCACTGGAAACAGCAGCGAGTCCGAAGTCTCTGAAACATATGTTTTGTGTTTTGCTGGAGGAATGATAATTTAAGTTATTTAGAAATAAATCTAAAAAAGGTATCCAGAATTTCACTCTGAACCAGAGCAGAGGAAATGGTCTGAACCATCAGACTCTGCAAACATCAGAGGAAGCAGCACCTGCTGCCGCTGCACTTTGTTACTATTGTTAGTCACTTTAGAATGATGTATTTGTGTGTTTGTTTGTGTTGCTGCTGCTGCTGCATGTCACAGTCTGAGGATCACAGATAAACACTCGCTGTAAATAATCCTTTAAGTGAACTGTTGTGAAACGAGTCGTGAGGAAACTCAGAGAAACAAAGATCATGCATTTTCTCCCACAGAACCACAGTCCTGCCCCAGGGCAGGTGTGGCTCCTGGACTGTGGTGAGTGCAGTGAAGGATTTAAGTGTTAAGTCTTAAAAAGTTCAAAAACTAAATGAAGAAGTGTTTTATCCGCTTTACCTGATCTTAAATGTTAGATTTTGTTATTTAGTCATTGTTTTTTGTGTTTTTTTTTCACCTCTTGGAAAACAATATCTATCTAGAGCTATCTTACAATATGTATTATTGTTCGATGTTTGTTAAACCGATGAATTATTATTATCTGTGTTGCTAAAATGGCTTCGTTCAGACTCAGAGTCTACACAGAGCCCTGAGGCAGCTGCTGTCTCTGATACACATAGGCTGAGAATAACTGCATCACACTGAGCTGATGGGCAGACACACAACAGACACACACACACACACACAGCAGACATACAACAGACACACAACACACACACACACACAGCAGACATACAACACACACTCACAGCAGACATACAACACACACACACAACAGATGCACAGCAGACACACAGGCTGAGAATAACTCCCATCCCAATACTGACCAGGCCCTGCCCTGCTTAGCCTCAGAGGTGATGCAGGGGGTCATGTGGGAGTGTGTTTACTGCGGTTGCCTCATGAGCTGCTGACGGAGTAAACAGGATTGAGAAAGCTCCGTCGTCTGCACTGCTCTGGTTTCAAAACACCACATGTTCTGGACCCAGCGACGCACAACACAGAATGGGATTATGGGACATCTGTGTGTGTGTCTGTGTGTCTCTCTGTGTGTCTCTGTGTGCGTCTCTGTGTGCCTCTGTGTGTGCCTCTGTGTGTGCGTCTCTGTGTGCGTCTCTGTGTGCGTCTCTGTGTGCGTCTCTGTGTGCGTCTCTGTGTGCGTCTCTGTGTGCGTCTCTGTGTGCGTCTCTGTGTTTGTCTCTGTGTGCCTCTGTGTGCGCCTCTGTGTGCGCCTCTGTGTGCGTCTCTGTGTGCGTCTCTGTGTGTGTGTCTGTGTTTGTCTCTGTGTGCCTCTGTGTGTGCCTCTGTGTGTGTCTCTGTGTGTGCGTCTCTGTGTGCGTCTCTGTGTGTGTGTCTGTGTTTGTCTGTGTGTGCCTCTGTGTGTGCCTCTGTGTGTGTCTCTCTGTGTGCGTCTCTGTGTGCGTCTCTGTGTGCGTCTCTGTGTGCGTCTCTGTGTGTGTGTCTGTGTTTGTCTCTGTGTGCCTCTGTGTGTGCCTCTGTGTGTGCCTCTGTGTGTGTCTCTGTGTGCGTCTCTGTGTGCGTCTCTGTGTGCGTCTCTGTGTGCGTCTCTGTGTGCGTCTCTGTGTGTGTGTCTGTGTTTGTCTCTGTGTGCCTCTGTGTGTGCCTCTGATCAGATTCAGATTCAGATTCATTTTATTCGCCATTTGCAGTATGTATACACCACATTGGAATATATTTGTAAAAGTTCCCCGTGTGCACAGGACAAGTACAGACACAAAACAACATTAAAAGACAAAAATAAAACAAATTTTAAAAACAGTAAACAAATGTCACAACAAATGTCACCGTGAAGTTGACCAACTTAAAACAGATCTATACGAGTGCAAAACATTAAAGTGCTCTATTCAAACTGTTAACAGCTCGTGGAAAAAAACTGTTAGCATGACGAGATGTGTGTGTCTGTGTGTGTCTCTCTGTGTGCGTCTCTGTGTGCGTCTCTGTGTGCGTCTCTGTGTGCGTGTCTGTGTGTGTCTCTGTGTGTGTCTCTGTGTGTGTGTCTCTGTGTGTGTGTCTCTGTGTTTGTCTCTGTGTGTGTCTCTGTGTGTGTCTCTGTGTGTGTCTCTGTGTGTGTCTCTGTGTGTGTGCCTCTGTGTGCGTCTCTCTCTGTCTCTCTCTCTCTCTCTCTCTCTCTCTCTGGTCTCTCTCTGTCTCTCTCTCTGTCTCTCTCTCTGTCTCTCTCTCTGTCTCTCTCTCTCTCTCTCTGGTCTCTCTCTGTCTGTCTCTCTGTCTGTCTCTCTGGTCTCTCTCTCTGGTATCTCTCTCTGGTCTCTCTCTCTGTCTCTCTCTCTCTCTCTCTGTCTGTCTCTCTCTCTGGTCTCTCTCTCTCTGGTTTCTCTCTCTCTCTCTCTCTCTCTGTCTCTCTCTGTGTTTACATCGGTCTCCAGGAGATGTTTGGGTGTGTTGTGTGTTTTTGAACCGGTTCCGTGTTTTCTCTCCTGCTGAGGTCATGTTCACAGACACAGGGAACCATGAGTCAGATCAGCCTCGCAGTGAGACCACAGCAAGACCACAGCGGGACCACAGGGAGACCGCAGGGAGACCTAAGCTAGACCTCAGCCAACAGACGCATGCTACTTTTGGAGACTTTCACACATGCATTGTCCTTTTAAGCTCTACTCTACTCTACTCTACTCTAGTTCTGTCCCAGAGTAGAGTAGTGTTCCCACTGACAATGATTGACCAGAGTGCTGCTGGAAGCCACGGTTACCAAGGAATGTCCAAGGACACTGGTTTTGTGTAATGGAAACGCAACCAGGTAGAGTAGAGTAGAGTGGAGTAGGGTAGAGCAGAGTAGAGTAGGGAATAGTAGAGTAGGGTAGGGTAGAGTAGAGTAGAGTAGAGTAAGGTAGAGTAGAGTAGAGTAGAGTAGGGTAGGGTAGAGTAGAGTAGAGTAGAGTAGGGTAGGGTAGGGTAGAGTAGAGTAGAGTAGAGTAGAGTAGAGTAAGGTAGAGTAGAGTAGAGTAGAGTAGGGTAGGGTAGAGTAGAGTAGAGTAGAGTAGGGTAGAGTAGAGTAGAGTAGGGTAGGGTAGAGTAGAGTAGAGTAGAGTAGGGTAGGGTAGGGTAGAGTAGAGTAGAGTAGAGTAAGGTAGAGTAGAGTAAGGTAGAGTAGAGTAGAGTAGAGTAGAGTAGAGTAGAGTAGGGTAGAGTAGAGTAGGGTAGGGTAGAGTAGAGTAGAGTAGAGTAGAGTAGAGTAAGGTAGAGTAGAGTAGAGTAGAGTAAGGTAGAGTAGAGTAGAGTAGAGTAAGGTAGAGTAGAGTAGAGTAGAGTAGAGTAGAGTAGAGTAGAGTAGAGTAGGGTAGGGTAGAGTAGAGGAGAGTAGAGTAGAGTAAGGTAGAGTAGAGTAGAGTAGGGTAGGGTAGAGTAGAGTAGAGTAGAGTAGGGTAGGGTAGGGTAGAGTAGAGTAGAGTAGAGTAAGAGGTAGGGTAGAGTAGAGTAGGGTAGAGTAGAGTAGAGTAGAGTAGAGTAGAGTAGGGTAGGGTAGAGTAGAGTAGGGTAGAGTAAGGTAGAGTAGAGTAGAGTAGGGTAGAGTAGAGTAGAGTAGAGTAGAGTAGGGTAGGGTAGGGTAGAGTAGAGTAGAGTAGAGTAGAGTAGGGTAGGGTAGAGTAGAGTAGAGTAAGGTAGAGTAGAGTAGGGTAGAGTAGAGTAGGGTAAGGTAGAGTAGAGTAGAGTAGGGTAGAGTAGGGTAGAGTAGAGTAGTAGAGTAGGGTAGAGTAGGGTAGAGTAGGGTAGAGTAGAGTAGAGTAGAGTAGAGTAGGTAGAGTAGAGTAGAGTAGAGTAGAGTAGAGTAGAGTAGGGTAGGGTAGGGTAAGAGTAGAGTAGAGTAGAGTAGAGTAGGGTAGGGTAGAGTAGAGTAGAGTAAGGTAGAGTAGAGTAGGGTAGAGTAGAGTAGGGTAAGGAGAGTAGAGTAGAGTAGGGTAGAGTAGGGTAGGGTAGAGTAGAGTAGAGTAGAGTAGGGTAAGGTAGAGTAGAGTAGGGTAGAGTAGAGTAGAGTAGAGTAGAGTAGAGTAGAGTAGAGTAGGGTAAGGTAGAGTAGAGTAGGGTAGAGTAGGGTAGAGTAGAGTAGAGTAGAGTAGAGTAGACAGAGGCCAAACATGTGAGAACTATTGATAAAACTGATTTAAAAGTGAGTTATTTTTTCAAACCAGTCTTTGTGGTTTGAAATGTAAGTACCTCAGCTTTAAATCCAAACTAATGATTAGATTAACTTAAATATTCGTGTTTCGGCCTAAACCACAACAGCTGTCGTCTCTGAGGACTTTAAAGCTGTGGACACAAATACATTCAATCAAACGACGAGAAGCTAAAGCCGGTTCTTTGTGATTTGGTCTAAAAAAGAAGAGAAGGTCAGAAAGACAGTGGAGGAGGAGAAGAACACCGGGCCCTGTGGCAGACGAGTGCAGCGACTCCCTCAGACTCTCCATAAAAACACTTTTCCTGGAACTTTGTTTTGATGCTATATCATTATTTTTATTTTGTTGAGCAGTTGGGGTTTGCAAGTCGGGTTTGTGGAACCATAGGAACCTCCAGCCCTCACAGGGGACTGGTTTAGACGTGACGCAGCAGAAAAGGCGTCATTTAAAACTAGACTTTCAAATTTGCTTTTGTCTGGATGAAGTATTTATGGAGTTGAAGATAAAGTCCATAATGCAGGGTGTAATCCTGGACTCTGCTGTAGTCACTGAGGATTACTTTAGACGCCCAACAAATCCTGACTCATGTTTCATACATCAGAGTGTGCGAGGGAGGGGCAGGCTGAACCAGGCTGAACCAGGCTGAACCAGGCTGGACCAGGACAAGAATAGGAAATATTAGCTTTGAAGTCATATTAAAGGGGACAGGCGAGTTCTCAGTGCAGGCAGTAGGAGTGAGATCAGCCTGATGTGCTGCTGCTGCTGAAGGCTCCGAACAGACGACGGTTTCCACAAATCACTCACTTCTCGTTGTCTTTTAAAAAAACCAGAAACATGGAAAGTGTTGAAGGAAACGTGTTTGTTCAGAGCAGTTTGGTCTAAGATCCTGCAGCCTCCACACGACATAAACCACCCAGAGACCACCTTTACCTGTGTGTGGATGTCCTGCTCCTCCCAGGTCTGGCCCCTGGGCTCCTCTGGCAGGATCAGCCTGTTGGGGTCGGTGTGGAGTAACCTCACAGGGAGGGGGGAGGGGTCCTGCTGCACCAGCCATGTCTCCAGCTCTGCCTGAGGAACCTGTGGAGCACAAACTGAGAGTCATACTTTCATAATGACAGATAATATATTCTAATATTACTGATGACGTCTGTGATCGCGGCATCTGCAATGCATCATGGTCAGGGGAGTCCTTCAGGGGAGTCCTTCATACCAAAGGACCCACCCCCCTGTTTGAGAACATGCAGCTTTGAAGTGAATGACAGCGGTTCCACATCTGCCGTGGCCAAAAGTAAAATGTTGTGAACACATCACAACAGGTGGTCTTCATTATATTATTATTTTGAGAGAGGGAGAAATGAGAAACACTAAAGATTCCCTAGTTTTGTTTAATCGATTCTCTTCAGTATTGCAATATTTTGCTCACGCGATAAAATCAGAACAGTAGCACAGTACTGCGATATTGAATCAAATATCTGTTTCACTCCTGTTTACTCTGGTCCTTTACATTTGTGTTTTACTTCCACAAGGTGGCGCTTATCTCGTGAATTCATTCAACAGGAAGTTCAAATGAAAATGGCTTCATCACCTCCGGTTTTACACCGAATAATGACGACTGTCTGTGATAAAGTCCTGTGTCCTGGATGTTCAAGGATCATGGGTCATGCTCAGTGTTCGCTTCAGTTAAAGAACAGAACATAATAAATGTCAGAGACAAGAGTCTTATTTTCCTCCATGTGTGTAAAGTCTTTGAATAATATGAGTATCATGTGTAATGGAGCAGGTAAGGAAGGGTAAGGAAGACCCAGCGTACTGTGTTCTGCGTCCTGATTGGCTAAGGAAGAACCAGCATATTGTGTTCTGCGTCCTGATTGGCTAAGGAAGAACCAGCGTACTGTGTTCTGCGTCCTGATTGGCTAAGGAAGAACCAGCGTATTGTGTTCTGCGTCCTGATTGGGTAAGGAAGAACCAGCGTACTGTGTTCTGCGTCCTGATTGGGTAAGGAAGAACCAGCGTACTGTGTTCTGCGTCCTGATTGGGTAAGGAAGAACCAGCGTATTGTGTTCTGCGTCCTGATTGGCTAAGGAAGAACCAGCGTATTGTGGACTAAATTATACTAATACTAATTAAATTATTATGGACTAAACCCACAACATGGTTAGTGCTAAAAAGTTGAACTTCTGAACATGTTGCAACGATGACAACAAAGAGGAGTACGGTGCGTCAATTTGCATACTGTGACTGTCATCAAGGTGGTGGCCATTTTGGAAAATGTTTATTGTATAAAGATTTCAAAAAGCTGTAGTTTGAGAGTGTATTTTGAGATCTGGGAATACTGTCAACAGTCAACGTGAAATATGTTTAGTATGAAAATACAATGTGGGATAGGAATGAATTCACTGATCCAATTTATATAGAATATTTTAGCACTGGTCCACGGCCATATGGAACTGTATTAGACCTTCAATGATCAAGATGGCACTGCTTATAGTTTACAGTCATGAAATCTGCACTTTGGTTTCAATATTACCCTTTCAAAAGACCTGGTGGCATACAGTTTCTCTCAGTGGAAATGAGGCTCCAGAATTCATCGTTTAGAAACAGAGCGATTAAATGAACGGGCTCAGAACTTGTCAGATTGTCTCAACAATAAACAACAGGCTCTTCAACATTTCTGATCCACTTTTATGTCCCTGCCTGGCGTTCGTAGAATGTTTCCACTGTGGCCACACACCGCGGTAAAGAGGCCCGGGTTTTAGGAGTCAGCGGTAAAGAGGTCCGGGTTTTAGGAGTCAGCGGTAAAGAGGCCCGGGTTTTAGGAGTCAGTGGTAAAGAGGTCCGGGTTTTAAGAGTCAGTGGTAAAGAGGTCCGGGTTTTAGGAGTCAGCGGTAAAGAGGTCCGGGTTTTAAGAGTCAGTGGTAAAGAGGTCCGGGTTTTCGGAGTCAGCGGTAAAGAGGCCCGGGTTTTAGGAGTCAGCGGTAAAGAGGTCCGGGTTTTAGGAGTCAGTGGTAAAGAGGTCCGGGTTTTAGGAGTCAGTGGTAAAGAGGTCCGGGTTTTAGGAGTCAGTGGTAAAGAGGCCTGGGTTTTAGGAGTCAGCGGTAAAGAGGTCCGGGTTTTAGGAGTCAGCGGTAAAGAGGCCCGGGTTTTAGGAGTCAGCGGTAAAGAGGCCCGGGTTTTAGGAGTCAGCGGTAAAGAGGCCCGGGTTTTAGGAGTCAGTGGTAAAGAGGCCCGGGTTTTCGGAGTCAGCGGTAAAGAGGCCCGGGTTTTAGGAGTCAGTGGTAAAGAGGTCCGGGTTTTAGGAGTCAGCGGTAAAGAGGCCCGGGTTTTAGGAGTCAGTGGTAAAGAGGCCCGGGTTTTCGGAGTCAGCGGTAAAGAGGCCCGAAGAAGAAGAAGAAGGAGGAGAAGGAGAAGGAGGAGAAGGAGGAGAAGGAGACGAAGAAGGAGGAGAAGGAGAAGGAGGAGAAGGAGGAGAAGAAGGAGAAGAAGGAGAAGAAGAAGAAGAAGAAGGAGGAGAAGGAGAAGAAGAAGGAGAAGAAGGAGAAGAAGAAGAAGAAGGAGGAGAAGGAGAAGAAGAAGAGGAAGAAGAATAAGGAGGAGAAGGAGAAGAGAGAAGAAGAAGAAGAAGGAGGAGAAGGAGACGAAGAAGAAGAAGGAGGAGAAGAAGAAAGAAGAGAAGAAGGATAAGAAGGAGAAGAAGGAGAAGAAGAAGAGAGAAGAAGAAGAAGGAGAAGGAGAAGAGGAAGAAGAAGAAGGAGAAGAAGAAGAAGAAGAAGGAGAAGAAGTATTTATATTATTTTTGTCTGTTTATAGTTTTCATGTTTGTCCCATATTGTTAAAAAAAACACTGTTATGGTTCTGTAGTTCTCTAAAGTTGCTAAGCAGTGTGAGGCCCGGATAGCACATGGATGGGAGACCACAGGTGAGTTTGTGACATGGATCTATAATAACTGGATAGTGTATTACTAGCTTACAGCTGTCCCACTCATGGCCACAGGGGGCGCTGTGGTACTGCAGACTAAATTCACGAGGGTTACCCAGAAAAAAGTCCCATAGAACTCAATGTAAACTAAAACAGATAGACCTCAGCTGACCGAGAACCTGACAGAGAACCTGACCGAGAACCTGACAGAGAACCTGACAGAGAACCTGACAGAGAACCTGACAGAGAACCTGACAGAGAACCTGACAGAGAACTTGACAGAGAACCCACAGAGAACCTGACAGAGAACCTGACAGAGAACCTGACAGAGAACCTACAGAGAACCTGACAGAGAACCTACAGAGAACCTACAGAAAACCTGACAGAGAACCTACAGAGAACCTGACAGAGAACCTACAGAGAACCTGACAGAGAACCTGACAGAGAACCTGACAGAGAACCTACAGAGAACCTACAGAGAATCTACAGAGAACTTACAGAGAACCTACAGAGAACCTACAGAGAACCTGACAGAGAACCTACAGAGAACCTGACAGAGAACCTACAGAGAACCTACAGAGAACCTGACAGAGAACCTGACAGAGAAACTAACAGAGAACCTGACAGAGAACCTGACAGAGAACCTGACAGAGAACCTGACAGAGAACCCACAGAGAACCCACAGAGAACCTGACAGAGAACCTGACAGAGAACCCACAGAGGACCTGACAGAGAACCTGACCGAGAACCTGACAGAGAACCTGACAGAGAACCCGACAGAGAACCCACAGAGAACCTGACAGAGAACCTGACAGAGAACCCACAGAGGACCTGACGGAGAACATGACAGAGAACCTACAGAGAACCTGACAGAGAACCTTACAGAGAACCTACAGAGAACCTACAGAGAACCTGACAGAGAACCTACAGAGAACCTGACAGAGAACCTACAGAGAACCTACAGAGAACCTACAGAGAACCTGACAGAGAACCTACAGAGAACCTGACAGAGAACCTGACAGAGAACCTGACAGAGAACCTGACAGAGAACTTGACAGAGAACCTGACAGAGAACCTGACAGAGAACCTGACAGAGAACTTGACAGAGAACCCACAGAGCACCTGACAGAGAACCTACAGAGAACCTACAGAGAACCTACAGAGAACCTGACAGAGAACCTACAGAGAACCTACAGAGAACTTGACAGAGAACCTACAGAGAACCTACAGAGAATCTACAGAGAACCTACAGAGAACCTTACAGAGAACCTACAGAGAACCTACAGAGAACCTGACAGAGAACCTACAGAGAACCTACAGAGAACCTGAGAGAGAACCTACAGAGAACCTGACAGAGAACTTGACAGAGAACCTACAGAGAACCTGACAGAGAACCCACAGAGAACTTGACAGAGAACCCACAGAGAACCTGACAGAGAACCTGACAGAGAACCTGACAGAGAACCTGACAGAACTTGACAGAGAACCTGACAGAGAACCTGACAGAGAACCTGACAGAGAACCGACAGAGAACCACAGAGAACCTGACAGAGAACCTGACAGAGAACCCACAGAGACCTGACAGAGAACCTGACAGAGAACCTACAGAGAACCTGACAGAGAACCTTACAGAGAACCTACAGAGAACCTACAGAGAACATGACAGAGAACCTACAGAGAACCTGACAGAGAACCTACAGAGAACCTACAGAGAACCTGACAGAGAACCTACAGAGAACCTGACAGAGAACCTACAGAGAACCTAGAGAGAACCTGACAGAGAACCTGACAGAGAACTTGACAGAGAACCTGACAGAGAACCTGACAGACAACCTGACAGAGAACTTGACAGAGAACCCACAGAGAACCTGACAGAGAACCTACAGAGAACCTACAGAGAACCTGACAGAGAACCTACAGAGAACCTACAGAGAACCTGACAGAGAACCTACAGAGAACCTGACAGAGAACATACAGAGAACCTACAGAGAACCTGACAGAGAACCTGACAGAGAACCTACAGAGAACCTACAGAGAACCTGACAGAGAACCTGACAGAGAACCTGACAGAGAACCTACAGAGAACCTGACAGAGAACCTACAGAGAACCTGACAGAGAACCTACAGAGAACCTACAGAGAACCTGACAGAGAACCTACAGAGAACCTGACAGAGAACCTACAGAGAACCTGACAGAGAACCTGACAGAGAACCTGACAGAGAACCTGACAGAGAACTTGACAGAGAACCCACAGAGAACCTGACAGAGAACCTGACAGAGAACCTGACAGAGAACCTGACAGAGAACCTGACAGAGAACCTACAGATAACCTACAGAGAACCTGACAGAGAACCTACAGAGAACCTACAGAGAACCTGACAGAGACCCTACAGAGAACCTGACAGAGAACCTACAGAGAACCTACAGAGAATCTACAGAGAACCTGACAGAGAACCTTACAGAGAACCTACAGAGAACATACAGAGAACCTACAGAGAACCTGACAGAGAACCTACAGAGAACCTGACAGAGAACCTACAGAGAACCTGACAGAGAACCTACAGAGAACCTGACAGAGAACCTGACAGAGAACCCTACAGAGAACCTGACAGAGAACCTGACAGAGAACCTACAGAGAACCTGACAGAGAACCTACAGAGAACCTGACAGAGAACCTGACAGAGAACTTGACAGAGAACCTGACAGAGAACCCGACAGAGAACCCACAGAGAACCTGACAGAGAACCTGACAGAGAACTTGACAGAGAACCTGACAGAGAACCTGACAGAGAACCTGACAGAGAACCCGACAGAGAACCCACAGAGAACCTGACAGAGAACCTGACAGAGAACCTGACAGAGAACCCACAGAGGACCTGACAGAGAACCTGACAGAGAACCAACAGAGAACCTGACAGAGAACCTTACAGAGAACCTACAGAGAACCTGACAGAGAACCTACAGAGAACCTACAGAGAACCTACAGAGAACCTGACAGAGAACCTACAGAGAACCTGACAGAGAACCTGACAGAGAACCTAGAGAGAACCTGACAGAGAACCTGACAGAGAACCTACAGAGAACCTAGAGAGAACCTGACAGAGAACCTGACAGAGAACCTGACAGAGAACCTGACAGAGAACCTGACAGAGAACTTGACAGAGAACCTACAGAGAACCTGACAGAGAACCTACAGAGAACCTACAGAGAACCTGACAGAGAACCTACAGAGAACCTACAGAGAACCTGACAGAGAACCTGACAGAGAACCTGACAGAGAACCTACAGAGAACCTGACAGAGAACCTGACAGAGAACCTACAGAGAAACTACAGAGAACCTGACAGAGAACCTGACAGAGAACCTACAGAGAACCTGACAGAGAACCTACAGAGAACCTGACAGAGAACCTACAGAGAACCTGACAGAGAACCTGACAGAGAACCTACAGAGAACCTGACAGAGAACCTACAGAGAACCTGACAGAGAACCTACAGAGAACCTGACAGAGAACCTGACAGAGAACCTACAGAGAACCTGACAGAGAACCTACAGAGAACCTGACAGAGAACCTACAGAGAACCTGACAGAGAACCTGACAGAGAACCTACAGAGAACCTGACAGAGAACCTGACAGAGAACCTGACAGAGAACCTACAGAGAACCTACAGAGAACCTACAGAGAACCTACAGAGAACCTGACAGAGAACCTACAGAGAACCTGACAGAGAACCTGACAGAGAACCTACAGAGAACCTACAGAGAACCTGACAGAGAACCTGACAGAGAACCTACAGAGAACCTACAGAGAACCTGACAGAGAACCTACAGAGAACCTGACAGAGAACCTACAGAGAACCTGACAGAGAACCTGACAGAGAACCTACAGAGAACCTGACAGAGAACCTACAGAGAACCTGACAGAGAACCTGACAGAGAACCTGACAGAGAACCTACAGAGAACCTACAGAGAACCTGACAGAGAACCTGACAGAGAACCTGACAGAGAACCTGACAGAGAACCTGACAGAGAACCTGACAGAGAACCTGACAGAGAACCTACAGCTTTCATAAAGGTTGGATTTTGTGTGTATGTTAGTGTCCCTTGTCGTCCTGAACTTTTTTTCTTCTTAAATCCTTCTGTTTTCTTTAAATCCACACTTTACTGCCACAAACTCTGCTCCTGTCCTTCCCGCTCTGACTCCGCTCTGCTGCTGCTCTGATGAACAGCTCTGATTGGTCAAAGCGTGGCCGAGCCCCTCTGTGCACGTGCATGAGAGCCACACACGCGTATTTAGCTCAAAGCATCATGGGAGTTCGTCCACTGCACAGAACCGGGAGGACCAGACGATAATCTCCCGGTCTCCATGAAGTCCCATGATCTGCTGAGCACAAGCCATTCATTTGAACAGGGCGCCATCTTGGATCGCCGGGGCTTGGTTTGTTAGTGTCCATAAAAGGTCACACTTCCTGGTTCCTCCTGCTCCTGTGAAATGTATCAAAATAATCATAAAGACACAATATAAAGGAAATGTTCAGTTAAAGCTGCGGTACCTAACTTTCAAACCACAAGGAAATGAGTAAAAACAACACACACACACTCTCTCCCTCACACACACACCCTCTCATACACACACACACACACACACACACACACACGCACACACACACACACACGCTCACACACACACTCACTCACACACACACTACACACACACGCTCACACACACACACACACACACACTCACTCTCACACACACACACA